TAATAATAATAATAATAATAATAATAATAATAATAATAATAATAATAGACACATTTATTGGGGTTACATTAAGTCCCATGCTCACTCTCATTCCCAGCCAGATTATCATACCTCTTCATGGTTCCTGATATCCAGCCTTCTTGTTTCATGTTCATGCCTGACGTTCACGCCTTCATCTTCTCATCTCAACCTCACGCCAGCCTTTTGGAAACCCTGACCTGCTTGCTCCCTGTCTGCTTTTGCTTTGCCTCTCTGATCTCGTTACTGATTACTCCTTCTGGACCTCGGATTTCGAATTACGGATTATCCCTTTTGGATTTGTTATTGGAACTCTGACTCCCTGTGCATGACCCCCGCTTCATTTCTCTGACCTCGTTATTGGACTGCACTACGTTTGTCAGAGCGCTCCTCTGCAGCTGCTGTGTCTCCACCAGCTCCGGTGACGTCATCCTGCCCGGCTCCAACAGGTGACCCCACCTTGCCTGCTTGAGAAGCTCTGACAGGTTGCTCTCTCCCGCCTGCCTGTGAGGACCTGTCTCCACAGCTGGATCCTAACTTTCTCCAACGGCTATTTTTCAATAACTCTGTTTTTGCTTTTTTCTCTCTTGTTGTCTGGCTGATTCTGGCTGATACAAGAGGAACGGGTCCCTCTTGTAAATGAGTCCTTGTGGCTCAATGAAACTAGCCTGTATCAATAAAGGTTGAATGAATGAAATCAGGAACCATGAAAAGGTATGATGATAATCTGGCCAGGAATGAGAGTGAGCGTAGAGCTTAAATAGTGAGGAAAACGGGTGTAGTGAATCGAGACAGATGAGCTGAAAGTGCAGCGTGGCTGAATGACAGGAGCAGAAAATGTGACATGAAGGGCTGTGAGTGAGGCAGGAGACAGAGGACGTGACCAGGACATAAATACATGTGTGAATGATTTTAAAACTTATTGAGGACAGCTTTGCTCAGATAGCTTCAGAGTTGATCTGGTAGATTTGTTTGTGTTTTCTTTGTAATCTGAATACAAACTGAGCCTCACTAAAGGACCATCACCTGAGCTGATGTGACTCCAGGCAGCTCCATCACATTACCTGGATGTCTCTATTATTATTTTATTATTAAGATTAAACTGTACCTGTTTAAATATGATGAACATTTGGACCACAGGTGTACTATAGCAGTATATTTACTCATTAAAGTGCAATTTCAAAGTAGAAACACGCATGAATGGGTGAAGATGTGTTTATATTTTTAGACTTATCTTGACAGCTTGGCTTTTAGAATAGGTTCACTCTTTTTGTTTAGTTGGGTCTGTAAAGAAAAGTACATTTTCAGATGACAGATCAGCATGTTTCTCATTAAGCTGCTTCTTTTCTCCTCCTGTCTATCAGCTGATGAGGTGTTCTGTGAGATGGTGAAGTCCAACCGTCTGTGTGAAAAGAAGTTTTACCAGCAGTTCTGCTGCCGCACCTGCCTGATGAACGGATGAGGAGCCAAACGCCTACTATTTCTGCTTCTTTATTCTAAATTGATGCCACAAAAAAAGGCAATTTTAAATGGTCTTGTGCAGTCTGACTTGAACTTTTTTAACCTTATTTTGCTGTTCATCAAAATAGGACATTTCATATTTTGAAGAATTTGAGAGAAATTCAAGGAATTTTCTTGCAGATTTTTTAAAGTAACGTAAAAAATGTGTGGAAATATTCTGCAGTGAATATGAGCTGATGGACTGAATGTAGTCAATTCAGCATTTTGCACAGTTTAAATTTTTCAAGTTTCTTACTTTCACTCACATGTAAGAAAAATTTGAACTGGCACACATACGTGTTATATTTCTGTTTTATTGGTTTTTGTTGTTGTTTTTTGTACCAAAACAGTTCAAATAATAAGTCATGAATCAAAATCACTAACAGTATTCTCTTTTAATTGACTCATACATACATACATATACATACACACAATCTCACACACACACACACACACACGCAGGTTTGTTTTGCTATCTTTATGGGGCCTTTGCATTGACTTCCATTCATTTTTCATTCATTTCTATAGCCTAACCATGACCTTTATCCTTAACCTAACCATTACCAGTACATACCTAACCCTAAACCTAACTCATCCTCAATTCACACCTTTGTCCTAAACCTAGCCCCTAACCCACCAACGGGACTTCTTCTTATGGGGCCCAGGCTTTGGGCCCCATAAGGAGCAGTTGGTCCTCACAATGCAGTATAAGTTGGAAAAATGGGCCTCACAAAGTAGCATAAACAAGGACACACACACACACACACGGGCGGCAAGGTGGCTCAATTGGTCGAGCTGTTGCCTCTCAGCAAGAAAGTTGCCAGATCAATGTCGGGGTCCTTTCTGGGTGGAGTTTGCATGTTCTCTCTGTGCATGCGTGGGTTTTCTCCAGGTACTCCGGTTTCCTCCCACAGACCAAAAACATGCATGTTAGGCTGATTGGTAACTCTAAATTGTCCCTAGGTGTGAGTGAGAGAGTGAATGGTTGTTTGTCTCGTTTGTCTCTATGTGGCCCTGTGATGGACTTGCAACCTGTCCAGGGTGTCCCTCGCACAGTGATTGCTGGACATGGGCACCAGTGACCCCTGTGACCCAAAATGGAATAAACGGGTAAAGATAATGGATGGATGGATGAACTTATTAGAGTGTAATCTAACGTACGGAAACAGAAGAACTTAATATTATTAGTAAGTTGTGGAGAAGGATAGCATTTTTGCAACATTGATCTCCATCCGTTGGTTTTCTAAATTACAACTTTGCAGTAAACAGTTTGTTCAGTGTCACTTCTCCTGAAAACGTCTCAGATTATTGACACAGTTGAATCTATCAGAGAGAAGCAAATATGACGCATCAGAGAAAAATAAGGGGTCACGTTTAACACCACAGTTTTCATATGTCTTGTACTTACACTGTAGGTACTGTAAGATTTACATGGTGCATACTGGGTACCTAGAGTAATACATACAGAGTACCCATGCAGTACATATGAAGCACTTATAGCTGATCTATGCAGGACCTACAGTGTTCTCACAGGGTGTCTTTAGGGTACACTGGGGATGCTTACAATATATTTACAGGGTCCCTATGGTGTACTTCCATGTTACTTACAGGGATATCTGGAGGATACTTACAAGGGACATAATGATTATTTACAAGGTTTTGTCTGCAGACAATTGTTGCAGTAAAATGATGAGTAGTGTTTTTACTTTGTTCATCTGTGGTCACAATTTTACAGCTGCAAGTTTCCTCATAGACGTAGACGTAGTTTATTTTTGTCATACTCATTTATTCTGAAGTACAACTTCTACTTCTACAACTTCTTATTCTGAAGTACTACTCTTGATCCAGAATAGTATTTGAAGTGTCAGCATGTTAAAAAACTATCAGATTATTGGATAAACAATTCCTTATATTGTTTACAGTGAGCCCATCTTGGTCTGCACTGCAGTTCATACAAATCTACCACATGTGTAGTTAACATTACCTTTGCTGAAGCAGTTCTTCATTGCAAAGAGCCATTTTCAGCACAAATGATGTATTTGCCTGTACAGAACCACAGGAGCTCCACGATAGTTGAAAAGGTTCACAGAGTAAATATATCTATCCTCGCTCCAGGGTTTATCATTGCAACATGTTCAATCATATACAGATTTATGACATTGCAGACTACTGTGTAAATCCCCAGAAAAATGTTTGATCTTCACTGAGTAAGACTTGGCAGCTTTATGAGCATACTGGATTCATCCATCTGAGGCTGAGGCAGCTACACTGCAGCAGGCCTGACAGGCTTTCTAAAATAATACAGTCATAAAGAACGACATGTCCTCAGAGAATAAAACCACAAATATTCAAGAAGCAAAACTACATATAATGAGTGTTATTATTGAAATGAAACCCAGTCCAACACCTTTCAGCTATTTTAAAATTCACACACAAAACTCTCCAGTTTGTTGCTACAGTGAATGAAAGAGAAGCAAAGCTGAACTCTGCAGATGAGTTTGAGAACAGAGCAGCATCTATCAGTTCAGGTTTCAAAGGAAACTCCGCTGCAGCTGCAACCTGGAAACTCCGTTTAAAATTCTTCAGGTGTTCCAGCTGTAAAGCATTTGTTAATTAAAATGTTTGACATTCTGACATCAGAGCTGTTCGGGTCATCTGCGTGCTGATGCTGACATGGTCCACCCTCGTCCAGTAAACCACAACAGAAGAGTTCCCTGCAATTCTTGATACAATCGTAAAAGTTTTTGCTGCAAATTGTGTTTCTTTTAATTCAAGCTTTTTAACCACAGGCTGAAAGCTTGGGAATTAAACTTACAGGTTTCGTTATACCTTTGTGTGAGCTTCATCTCACGCCTGCCACCTGTTAGGCTCTTCCTGACTCAGATCACTTCTTTTCTTATCAACTATTATTGGACTTCACAGCTATCACTTGTTTTATAATAACTGCAAGCATGCTGCATGCATCGCTTTAAAGACCCTAAAAGTGCATAAAATAAACCGTGTGCAGGTGCAGTGAAGAGTTCATGTGCACCATCATCAACAGATGATACTAAACATCAAAGAACAAAAAAATGTGTCTTTTCAAAAACAGTTGCTGTACGTCACTCTCCTTTACACATTGAAACATAATTAAGTGTCAGAAGATTGCTAAGCTGTGTTTGGCTGTAACGTGTTTTCACAGAACCATCTTATCTGTTAAAAAAAATACCATTAAAGCGTTAATGTAATGCAGATGAACAGTGCTCATAAGCTGAACGCTTTCTGACAGCAGAGGGTGCACTTCACTCGCCAACTCAGGGGTCTGCAACCACGATCAACAAAAGAGCCATTTCAGCTCACTCTATCAAATGTGTCCCGAGTGCTAAACATGATGTAATTATCAACTGGTGGCCCATGGGCCACTTTGACTTTGTTGGAGGGACAGTGGAGCTGACAATGTAAAACTAGTAATATCCGAAGTAAAATGTGGGAGTTCTGCTCTGCCAGCTCCTGCACCCACAGCCACACTCTAATCACCTACACCATCGGCTTGATGAGAACGAGGAGCATAATAAAAGTCTGCATAAGACATTCAGCCAGTGCTGGAGCATTACCTGCCAACGGCAGTCTTGTTTAGCCTTTTACTCGTGTCTAAAACTAAGTATTAATGATTTGTGTTTCTCTCAGTGCCTCCATTGAGTTACTCTTGATGTCCTCCTTTTTCCTGAATCCTCCTCTGTGGACCTTGAGCTCCTCTGTGTCTCATCAGCTGCCTCCACGCCTTCCTACCACTTGCCTAATGCCTGCCATTGGTCAGACACCTCCTTCGCCTGGAACCATTTCGGTCAGCCCTCCCCTCGCCTCACTCCGACCTCCATCACAAAAAAGATCAGCAATAACTTTATCATCCTTGACTATAAGAACTCCAATCACCTCTTTGCTCCTCAGGATTCCAGTCCTCTCCCTGGCTTATTGCATTATTTATAACTTGTAAATAAAAACTTTCAATTGCTTCTGAGTCTTGATCTCTGTTCTCATTGGTCCTTATATCTGGGTATAGCCGCAATAATTACATAGAGTATGAAAATGAGGCCAATTTGGTGGGTGGTTAATTGTGACTTAATGAAGTATTAAATAAAAACAAATACATTCATTAACTTCAGAATCAAAATCAGCTTTATTGTCATTGCACCCAAGGACAACAAAATTGCATTTCAGTAAAGCCCGTCCATGTAAAACAAAAGCAAACAAACATGGGGAGATGGAGGTGTCTGAGGCTGCGGCCTCGTAGGAGGCACTGCCCTTTCCGCTTAGATGAGAAAAGAGAAACACTGTCCTAGATGGGACACAGTGTGAAAGTTGCAAAAAACACCTCAGCACAGAAATAGCAACATATTGATGACATAATACATATGCATTAGGAAGGCCGACGAAGGCAGTGAGTTTGTCCGTGGACACTGCCAGATAGTCCACATAGTCCTGATAAGAGATGGTGTAGTGTCTATCAGTCAGCTCAGCTCTGATACAGGTCCACAGATGTCATCGGGAAGGAAGCAAGTGTGTGTGTGGGGGGGTGGGGGGGTGGGGGGGGGGGGGGGGAACAGAGCTTCTTGTTCACATAACATCAGGAGAGATTGAGATTGTTGGCCAATTCAAGGCTGACGCAGTGGGAGCCAGATTCAGATAACACATTATAGTTCTACTGGTACATGTCAATGGCGACTCCAAACAGCCAAATTTTGTGGTCAACACCGCTAGGCCGAGCATGTAGCTTCCCCAAGGTTGATTCCTCGTGCCAGTGAGTTTCAGGAGCCACAAATGGCCTGCAATTCTCAGAAATCGTGTCCAGCTTATGGCTCAGCTCACACAACATTTTAGTCTGAGTGCTCACCACATGGCGCATTCCTTCACACAAGCCGGGCAGCCTCACAATGGCCAGAACAGCTGCTGACGTTTTTCGCATTTGTCGATATTGTAGTGAAC